AGGAGCTATCCTACCCACCAGACCCAGGTGATCAAGTGATATCCTCTGGGGTAGCAGCTACAAAAAACAAGGTACTAGGAATAAATACTGAGGCATGAGTTACATATAAGGGCTCCCCTCTGAGAAATGCTGGTGCTCTGTAGTGTGACAGAGGGAGAGCATGAAGATAGTGCCGACCCTCTGAAGTCTCAGGAAATGTTAACAGTCAGCCTTTACTTTTATGTTTATTTAGAAACCTGCCACTCAGGCTGCAGCAATGATAACAAGCAAATTAGAATTCTTTCACAAAAAGACTTAGCTCCTGGGTCTGTTACCTATTGCTGTGCCCTGGTGTGGCAGCTTTTTTACAGTTATTTCTCTATTGATTATTGCCCTGTATGACCCATGAGTGTAAGTCCCACTGTCCAATAGAGCCAGACAATATAGAGGTGTCCTCTGGCAAGAGGTGCAAAAATCAGGGTCCTAGAAAAGGGTATAGATTCCTTTCTGGAAGATACCGGTGAGTTGGAGTGAAGCAAAGGGAGAGTGCAAAGATTATATTCATAGGTGTCCATTATCTGAGAGTACCTCTACAGGCCCTTAAAAGTGTGCCAACCCAGAAACCTTCCCCTTAGTCCAAAGCTCTTGGGTAAGCAAATAGGTCTTCTTCTCAGAAAGATGATGATATGTTTCAATCTGTTATCTGTACAGTTCCCTGGGAGTGGTAGTCTGCCACAAACTCTCTTTCGGATTGTTGCAGTGCCATGAGACCCAGGATTGAAAGCTACCTTGGCCTCCAAAACCAGTTAATCAAAGGGCATCTTCTGTGTTACAGCCACAAAAACTAGGTCACCAGATATAAAAAGAGGGGCACCAGGCATGTGCAGAAGCTCCCCTTCAGAAGATAAAGAAAAAAAGGTAAAAAAAAAATAAACTGAAGAAAGAAGGAAAGAAAAAGGAAAAAATAAGATGGTGCACACTGGCTTTAGCAAAGCAGAGGGAGTGCAGAGTAGATGGCTTCCATCAGCTGGAGCATAAAGATGGCACTGGCTGAAAAGAAAAAAAAATGTTGCTTACCAGATTTAGCAGGACAGGGAGAGAAGGAAGATGGTGCTCATGAGCCTCTGTCCCTGGAGAGTAACACAGCAGGCCCCTATCCTCAGACCAATGCTTTAAAATTAGCCAATGAGTCTTTTTCACAGAAGGTGTAGATGCTATTCAAAGGGTTGCTTCTGTGCTGGGCTCTGGGACAGACAAGTCACCACATGAACCCTTTAAGAGCTGTTTCATAGTTTGCTATAGCCCAACAGCTCTTTTGGGCATGAGTCTTATTTCTTTTCAAAGCCAGATTGTTGGGGATTGTCTCTCAACTGCCAGTCTTAAATGATTGGGTGCCCAATGTGGGATACAAACCCTTTGTATCTCAAATTGAAGCTGCAGGTTTTGAGCTCCTTTCCAATTGTGGGTTACCTTGGGTGGGGTTAATGGTTAGGTGACATCTAAGCCTTTTCTATATGCTTTGATATGGCTTTCCTCTCATTTTCTTTTTAAATATGTTTTCCTGATTTTAGAAAGGGAGGGAGGGAGAGAAAGTGAGAGAGAGTGAGAGAGAAACATTGATCTGTTACCTCCGTTATGCACTCCAACTAAGGATCAAACCTACAACTTGCATATGTACCCTGAGAATTGTACCCGTGACCTTTCAGTGCTCAGGAAGGCCCTCAACAATCTGAGCCACATAGGCCAGGGCTCCCTCTCATTTTCTCATGCGAAGGGGTTGCTCCACTAGTTTTAGTTGTTTTGTTTTGGGGGGTTTTTTGTTTGTTTTTTTCCAAAGGAAAATGTTCCATACAGAGCTGTAGATTCAATGTGTCCATGAAAGGAGGTGAGTTCAGGATATTCTTACATCACCATCTTGAACCAGACCTCTAAATTTTATAGCTTCATTGATTACTGCTATAGTATTTGGTATTAGTCACCTCCCCACTTATTTTCTTTCTACGTTGGCTCAGGAGGGTTTCCAATAACAATAATTAATCTTTTTCCATATTTAGCAATAACTTAAAAACTTTCCCACGGTGCAAGACCCAGTTAAAATGCAATTTCTCAGGTCATGAAAATATGCCCTCCAATTCCAGATCAGAAAATCTGCTTATGCTAACAGCTTTTTGGTTACTTTTCGAAAAGTTGATTCAAGGATATATGTTTTGCTGTTCTCTTTGTGTTACATCTTATCCCTATGATAAGCATAGGGATAACTCTTCAAATCATTGTGCAATGCAATACCTTCAATCAATCTCATTGATTTCTTGAGCTGTTATCTCATAATATCAAATATTGCCACTTTTTCCACTGGCATTATAAGATGTGGCAGAAGTAGGTTTATAGTTTCTGTGGGTTTTTTTTTTTAATCCTCATAAGAGGGTATTTTTCCATTGTTTTTCAGAGGGAGTGGAAGGGAAAGGGGAGAAACAGAGAGAGATAAAGAGAGAGAAGAAAGAAAGAAAAAGAAAAGAAAGAAAGAAAGAAGAAAGAAAGAAAGAAAGAAAGAAAGAAAGAAAGAAAGAAAGAAAGAAAGAAAGAAAGAAAGAAGAAAGAAAGAAAGAAGAGAAAGAAGAAAGAAAGAAAGAATGAAAGAAAGAAGAAAGAAAGAAAGAAAGAAGAGAAAGAAGAAAGAAAGAAAGAAAGAAAGAAAGAAAGAAAGAAAGAAAGAAAGAAAGAAAGAAAGAAAGAAAGAAGAAAGAAAGAAAGAAAGAAAGAAAGAAAGAAAGAAAGAAAGAAAGAAAGAAAGAAAG